TTTACTTCTCTCTCTCTCTCTCTCTCTCTCTCTCTCTCTCTTTTCCCACTAAAATATGCAGTTAAAAAAAGGTGGTTGGACTTGATGAGTTCTGGGCAACTCAGCCAGGACCTGCAGACTTGCTCGTTTCCAACCAGAAACAGGCCATGTCCCTGCAGGTACCTGGCTGGTTATGTTCTGGGGCCTGGTAGCCTCTATTTGGAAACCTACCTTGCCAGTCATGAGCCACCAAGATTCTATGCACCGCAAGAAGGTGTGCTGCTGGAATTGCTTCACTTTCTTGTTTACGCGGACATTTGTTGATTATCACCAGGCTATCATTTCTTTGAAGACTTACCCATAGTTTCAATTCCATATGAAGGATGGAATTAGACCATCTCAAGTTTTTCAGGTTCGAGGGCTTGTGGTTTCATGAAAGATTCATCTGGTTGTAGCATCAGCAAGCGACCTGGTATGTCATTTCTTGGATTGTTCTCACTCACAAGATAATGGACATCTCGTTTCAGTCGAATGTCAAAACCTTAGGACAGATGGATGAAAGTTCTTCGTATAGGCTGCTTGGTGTCAGGTTTTTGTATCTGACTGTTAATCATTCTGGACGCATGCATGCAGTCGATGAGCCATTTCATGGTTTGACCTCAGCAATCTCATGTTGCAAAATCATCATCATCATCCGAAACTTATCCCAACTATTTGGGGAGGGCTGCAATTTCTATCATCATCATCATCTGAAACTTATTCCAACTAGTTGGGGAGGGCTGCATGAAATCTAATGTTGCAAAATGCACGACAATATTTGCTACATTAGATCAAGTCATGGATTTTTTGTATCATTTTTGTTTGCTCTAGCTCAACTGCTTGTGTTGATTCTATTTTGATTGGTTGTCAAAACTTCAGGAAATCTACCTCTGGCTAATTTATTTCCTAGTTACGTCTCTGTTTTATTGTCAGAGGAAGAAAATGCCAATGATTTGTGCCAGGACAGTATTGCACCATATCCATGCTTTACAATGAGATAGTATAGATTCAAACTGTTCCCCATGAAATGGGCTTTTGCCATAACTCTTTGGCACCTTTTTATTGTGACAGTTGGAGTCTATCTGAACTCATTGGAATCTCATTTTTAATTACCTGATGAGTCACATTCAGTTGGATTGCGACTTTATTTGGGGCTACGTATAGCTGGAATTGTTGCAAATTCTCATATACCTACAGACCAATGGACATAATACCTATTTGCTGACGACATGACATTGTCTTGCCATCGCTCTTGTTGGACAATGCTTGCATGAGCGTTTTTTTGTGTTAGGATGTCACAATTGCTTTTGTCTATCCGATTTCAAATCGAGTGATTGTGAGTGTATCATTTACTAGATTCAAAGTTAAAAACAAAAACAAATTCTCAAACTTTGTGACGTCAAATTTGATATCTACTGACTAGTAGCAATTGTGACTTGTTTGTAATAAAGATAAGTGGCCTCATAGTATACAATCTCATTTCATAATTCGTCACAGTTTATTCATGTATTTTCTAGTGCCGTTCTTTTTTGAAGGGCATTATTCCAGTGTATGATAATCATATGATATTGAGACCCAAATGGATTCATTTTTCTCGC